TTTTTCACTTACATTGTTTGTTGTCCTATCCATTTTTATGGCATTCCTAGCAAAAGAAGAAAAAAACAAGGATGATTTTAAATGACAAGCAAGAAAATGTATTGAGAATATCCTTGGCTTATTTCTTCTTTGCTACCCAGATTTTGCTGCATCCAGCATGTCATCCACAGAACATGATCATATAAATGTATGCTAAACCAAATATGCAAAGCTGCTGCTTGCAAAACATGATGTATACCAACACGTTTATTTATCAGTCTATTTTTGTTTGTGGGTGTAATTATGGTTTTGTTGATGTACTCGACAATAGAAACATTATCCTGCTTGGCATAATATGTTATTCTCTACCGCCTGTCTTCATGTTGTTAACTGAAGTTTACATTTTTCATAAACGCTCTAATGAGCACAGTTGATGAGATTGCATCCATTCTTAATTACTTGCATGCACCTTATCAATAACATTTTCCTACGCTACAAACCTAATCCATATAATCTCGCCTGTCACTATCGTTCCTTTCACGAACATTGCTGTCATAGAAAAACAGTTTCGAAATAAACTGTTTGGTTCATCCAAATTTTGTAGCTCATAAAACTGTAATGTGGGGAGCAAGTCAATACAAATCTAACCTTAGCGAAAGCATCAAGGTAGGCAAGGTTACATGAAGAGTTTAAGTTGGTAACTTGCCAATATACATGGTGTATGTAATCTCTACATGCTTACCTTGGAGTAGTGCCACTACTCTTATCTACCAACATCTAATGATTTTTTTTAGCCTCTTCTCTTATCTACCAACATCTCTCAGTGATATACATTCCCGCCAAAATTGTTTATTTTATGTTTATAATCCTAAACTTTCATGATGCATTTTGATTCAGAATAACTTTTCAAATGTAATATTTAACTATAATAGTATGAGCTTTATTTAAGTGTAACATAGAGTGGCTAGCCCGTGCATTTGCACGGGTTGACGACTAGTACGTACATAATCATGTTTCTCCAACTCCTCTATCATTAGCAGTACTGTATACAACTTGGACTCTTCCATCACGTTTATACAATCTGAGCCATTTACATGAAGTTGCACCTACCATGGCCATTAGAAGTATTGTATACAACTTGGACTCTTCCGTTACGCTTATACAATCTGAGCCGTTTACATGGAGCTTCATGTATCATCAACGGATAAAATCTCTTTTTCTAGAGTTAATTTGGTGCCTCGTATGGTGCCTCCAATAACAAAATATAAGTGTCCCTACACATCTCTACAAAGTGATCACCTTTTAGTTCTACCTTGGTGGGTGACGCATTAGCTTGCACTCATATATCTCAGAAGTTGGCTTGGGCATCCGTGTTAACTTCGCAGTTGTACTGATCTTGTTTTTTGGTGATGCCCGTCATGTGTTGGTAAAGTATTCATGACAAAACTATTTACTGTTATTTTGTCCACATATCTCAATGCCCCTCCTACCCACAAATACGAGGGACGTGTGCCACCAAGAGACAGAAGTTCCCGTCCGTTGTGTAATGCCATTATGTGGGACTAATGTTTAGATTTTTTTTCCCCACTGCATAACAAACATGATACTATTGCGGAGTCCTAAGTACTTTTCTAGAGTGGAATTCGGAGGGTGGAGAGGGGGGGGGGGGCTACTTGGAATCCCTTTTGTTGTGCAACACATTAGGTGCACGTGTCTAGTATCTCTATGCTTGGCACCATTTTCTTAGCCTCACACCATTAACCTTCTTTTAATCTTGATGAATGAGTTGCTTGGAAACACTTCGGCTGACCCATAAACGAGGATCTCACCATAAAGTCGAAATTTGCACTTTCATCTAGAGTATAGCACCAGTCATGTAAGTCACATGTATAAAATGTATAATGCAACTTCTAGATGTTATTTGAAAAATAAAAATGATAGAAAAAGGTGTTAGGTGAGTTTCGATGAAGCACTAATGTCTGAGCAACGCTATGTGCACTTCTTCCATTTCTACTTCCTCCGTTCCTTAATATTTGTCTTTCGAGTGATTTCAAATGGACTATCACATACGGATATATATAGACATATTTTAGAGTATAGATTCACTCATTTTGCTCTGTATGTAGTCACTTGTTGAAATCTCTAGAAAGACAAATATTTTGGAATGGAGGGACTATAAAGTTGGACTCTTGTCTAGCAGGGACGACGCACAAAGCTGTAGATTAAGTATACTTGACTATCTCCTTTACTT